GACAGCCGAATGGAGGATAGACTGGGAGTAGGGAGAAACTTGAGGCAGGCAGACCAACCAGCAGGCTATTGTAGTAGTCAGGTGTGAGGTGAGAGCCACTTGCATAAAAATGTGACAACACAGGTTAAAAGGAAAGTTTTATATATAAGAGAAGTTGCAAAGGTAGAATTGACAGGACTTGGTAACAGATTGGATATAAGGGGTGAAAAGTCAAAGATGACTCTTTGATGTGAGCCTGAATTACTGGGAGGATGATGGTGCCTTGAATAGTAATAGGGAAATTGGAATGTGGGAAGGGTTTTTGCAGAAAAATTTTGAGTTCAGTTTTAGAACTACTGAGTTTATGATATCTTTGGGACATTTTAAGACATTGAAGATTCAAGACTGGAGGTCCAGAGAGGTTAGGGCTGGATAAATTGTATCTGTTTGAAGATACTCATTTGCAGAAGAATATCTTCATCTGTTAGAAATGTTAGCAATACATTATCCTAGACTTCTTTCCCTTTTCTCCAATAAATTTTCCCTTTCTAGGTTTCTTTGGTTTTTGAATATGACATTTCTAGAGATGATTTTTTTTAATCTGTACTTTATTTCCTGTCTCATAGATGTAGGAAGTTTTCATCTATCATTTCTTGAAATAGAATGTTTAGGAGTCCCCTTCCTCCTTTTTTTTAAACTCATGCTCTTCAGGAAGATCAATGACATGAATATCGTGTAAAATTAAAATTTCAGTTTCCACAAGTAAATTTTATTTATTCTTTCACATTTTGTTTATGGCTGCTTTTGCACTGCATTGAATAGTTTATAGTGACTGAGCAATGTACATATAATTCAGCAGCATTTCCAATGCCATTCATATTGTTGTACTGTGGCAATTTTTATTACCAGTGCATACTCATCATGTCACAAGAAGAGAAGAAGAAGGGGGAAAAAAGTTTTATTAATGAATTTTTGGTTTTGAGCTCAGGGCTGAGATCAAAATTTTTTTGAACAAGAACTCTCCTCAACTACTGTTGGTTAACACTAATGGCTTTGGAAGTTATTTTTTGCTGTAGACTTAATAGTATTTCTTGGATTTCTAAAATTACTAGGCAAAACATTGATTATACACTGCAGCAAAGCCCTGCTAGTAGTTTGAATCACAAGTAATGTCAAGTTGCTATATATAGTTTCCATGGTGTCTAAAATTAAAACAAGAAGCAAGATCTGTATTCCCACACAAATGTTTAGCAGATGAGCTCAAACTACAGTTCCAGCAGAATGTTTTGGACATTGATGCAAGTGCAAAAGAAATTTCCACATTCCAAAATCAGTTTAGCTGTCCAGTTAAGGAACTTTCACCTGTCCTTCAGTTCGAAGTGATTAATGTGCAATGTAATAACATGCTAAGAGAACAAATATCAAGAGATAAATTTATTATAATTATATAAATGCCTTGCTAGGTGGCTTAATAGATAAATGTTGGCCCTGAAGTCAGGAAGACTCACCTTCCTAAGTTTAAATAACAGCTTCAGACACTTACTAGCAGTGTGACTCTGGGCAAGTCAGTTAACTGTGTTTGTCTCAGTTCCACATATATAAAATGAGCTGGAGAAGCAAATGGCAAACTCTGTAGTATCTTTATCAAGATAATCCCAAATGGGGTCACTAAGAGTTGGGCATGAGTGATATGATTGAATAATAGATGCCTTCCTAGCAATGAACATACTCAAAATCATATACTTGTGGATTGATATCAGTATTTGGGTAGTACCTATCTGCGTGAAATGATATTTTCAAATGAAATAAAATACATAAAATCTCATTATAAATCAATATTAACAAAGGAATCTTTGTGGTTAAATTTGATGACAAAGAACATAAATTTTGAACTCCAGTTAAGTGAAATGTCATCCCCTTACAAAAGACTTCCATTCTTATTAGTAGACCTACATTATTATAAAATTATACTAAAATATTATATCTTGAATTCAATCAATAAAAATTTTGTGGACATTTATTTTTTCTTTTGTTAGTTCTCCTATAGTGGGAAACACGTATTTCCCCAAAGTACTTCACTGTGCAAAATCACTCGAAAACCAGAGTTTATAGGGAAAATGCAGCTAGGGTTACACTGCTCAAAAACTTCATTAATGGCACATTTAAAAAAAAGATGGAACCTAACAAAAATAGCACATTTTCCCACGTATTAAATGGTTAAGAAATGCATAATTACTACAATAAGTAGTGGCAGTGTACTGGTGGCATCCATGGTCTCTGGATGCTTGGTCTTTATGAGGATTCTCATGGTTAGGCTAGCAAAGTCTCTTGGAAGTTTTCCCGGCTTGTTGAGAAAGCTACAATTCCAGGCTCAGGGCAGGAGCCTCCCTCCAAAGTGGGTGATGGGGTAGTGGTAGTTAAGAGCAGCCCTTCTCTGCCCAGAGCTACTACTGCATCAGGAAAACTACAATAAATATGACACTTTACCTTTGCAAACACCTGAAGTTTTCTTGTGGAAGTGAATGTGAGAAGGGTTGCAGCTTGTGAGTTATTGTTAAGTGGTAGTTTTTCTGCATTCAAGCAGTTTCTTGAGGAAGAAATGGAGCAGAAGCAAACTTGAAATTCGAGTTATGCTTGAAGTGTTCCCTAATATATAAATCACATTGGGACAACTTTACATTTTTGAAATATGCATTATAGCTTAACTGACTACTTATATAATATCCTAGACTTTGGCTCTTGGCCTACAAAGCCTAGAATATTTACTTCAGGGCTATTTACAGAAAAAGTTTGCTGACCTTTAGGCTAGAAAAGGGGTGGGGAGCCTCGAGGCCACATGTTTATGTTATTTAAAAACAAACAAACAAAAGCCAATCATCAAACATAAGATAGGCCAGGCATAGCTAGAGTAGCGTTTTACCTGGAAAAGAGCTGGATGTTTTAGTAGATTGCAAGTCAAATATGATTCTGTAACAGTGTGTCATGGTAGATAAGAAACTTTAATGAAATCTTTGACTTCTTTAAGAGGAATTTAAAAAGCATTGTGGCTTGGAGAATTGAGAGCTAAGGTAGGAGTTGAGAAGACTGGGATTCACATCCTCTCATTTATTTATGCTGTCACTAACTTTTTAGTGCTGTGTGCCACTCTAAGATTATAAGTGCAGAGAAGGACCTGCATTGGTAGAGGGAGTTTCTTTTTCAAAAGCTGCCTAAATGAAGGAAATCACAGGTCCATTTGTGCTTCAGTTCTTTCTCAGTCTCCTAGTGACCTAGAATGAGTGCAGGCCTCAGCCTTGTCTCAGTCTCGGCACAGTCCCCACCACAAGTTGGCTCAGTTCCTTTTTGGGGTCCTGGTAAGCTCCAGTTGAATGTAAGAGATTGTACTGGTCTCAGGCCTCCAGGAAGATTCTCTTAAAACACAGGCTGACTGTATTTCTTCTTGTGGTTCAGAGAGAAACATGAACTTAAATCTTGAGTTGTTTCAGATGATGTCTTTATGGGCAAGCCCGCTTTATGAAACTGCCAGGACTTAGATCCTATTGATTTCAGGGACTGTTTTTGGTTCCCTGGTTCTTTACCTCTCTAATAGGTACCTTCAGATTTCTGGAAATCTTGTTTAGTCTTGGAATGGAAGGAGGAGCTTAATGCTGTTTGTATTTGATAGTCTTGATCATCATTGCATTGGAACATACTTTGAGTTTGTTGTGGTTGCTTTGTACACAGGCAACCAGGGATTGATGTCAGCAGCCTGCTCCTTTGGTCTGCCAAGGAACTTGAACATGGTCTTAATACTTTTTAAGGAAAAATTAGCCCACTTGAATTGAGGCGGGGAAAGGGCAGAGATATTGGTCTTTCTGTGCACTGGGTATGTAGCACTGCATGGGCATCTACTGTACACCACAGTACTCTGTTTGCATAAACATGACCCTGAATTGTCCGTAGATAGTTAAATTTATATTTAGTATATTCTTTATTTTAAAAAGATTTCTATTAAAAAGTATTTAAAATACAATTTAAGTTATTAACTGCACTATATTGCAAATAGTGGTATCCAGTGTGTCTCTTAAGAGTTTTTATAGAGGAAGTTTAAATGGAAATGTGCTTTTTCTGAAAGGGTTCATAGAGGTCATCTAATCTAATACTCTCATGTTATAGTAAGAAAAGAGGCCCAGAAAGTGACTTGCCCACAAGGATTAGAAACTGAGTCTGCTTACAACCTCTCTAGTGATCTTTTCACTATAACAGATCACATTTTGCGCCTATAATTTTTTGGCTTCTGTTTAGATAAAACTGAAACCCAGCAAAATAACGCCTCAATTCTTTTGTTAGAAATATCTTTCAAAATGTGGCTTAATTTGGTACAAAATTTGTTTTTCAAGTTGAGCATAGATTTTAAATCTTCAGGTGTTGCTTTTGAAGCACCACAGTTCCTAGTATCTATAAAAGTATTCTCCTGTTAAGAAATTAAATGATACTTAGGAACATCAGCTATCATGGATAATAAAGTAAGCAAATGAAATTGATCTCACTTTATGTTGTAGCAATGTGGAAGCCAAAATGTCAATATCTGCTTGCTGCCCTGCAAATTAGCGTGGTGGTTTCTGTATTACAACTGGGTATATTTAGGGTCATATGTAAAGTGGAAGATTAATTGAAGAAGATGAAGTGGAAGAAATATAAAGATGGAGAAAGAGAGGAGAATAAGATAGGGTATCAGAGGTTATATGGATACTGTTAACATTTTTCATCTAGGCACTGATCTGCAGCTATTTACCTCTTACATAATCCTTTACCCATTGTAATAATCTCTTACCTCTCCCTGAAATTCTGGGAACTTGTATTAGAAATAGGCATTCCTTAATGTGCTGTTGGTCTCTTCTGCATAGTTTTGCCATGTAAAAATATTTTTCGCATAACTCTCATTAACAAATATTGTGATTTGATTTTGTATTAGAGAATTTAATAATTTAAAATCTCTAGGACTTACTTTGCTTTATTCTTTTTATTTCCCCTCTTTGTAGGAAATTAAGAGAGAGATTGAACCCAAGGAGGAAATTTTCCTTTTAAACGAGATAAGCCTGGAAATGTAGCCAATCTTGTACAACGCATAAGCACTTACGGACTTCCAGCAGGAGGAATTCAGCCACATCCCCTAACCAAAAATGTTAAGAAGAGTATGTAAAAACTTTTTTCCTCCTTTTTAAATAATGTCTGAATGATTCAAGAGAGCATCATTCAAATCGTTCTTTTATATTTAGGAATGATGCATGGATCATTTGTGGTTCAGGGCTGTCATTTAAAATAGTTACTCATTATCTGATTCATCCAGCTAGAAGTGACCTCCTCATCTTCTTATCTCCTAGTTCTTAGTTTTTATGTTTTTTTAGGCACTCAGATTCAGTTCTGTCATTATTACGTTTGGTTTAATGTACTGCTAAGAACACTAGGTTTAGGATTTTGAGTTCCTGACACCACTGCTATGACTTGGGGCAAGTTTCTGAACCCCTAGTTTCCTTATCTGTAAAATGGGAATAATGATAATACTTTTACCATTTAAACTGCTATTTTAAGAATGAAGGTGAGAGGCTGCAGCTCATTCAGATAGAGGATTGTTCTTGAGTCAGAAACATTGCTGTTCAAATCCTGCCTGTGAGTCATGTTATTTGTGAACGAATGACAACCTTTCAGTGCCCCAGGTCACTATCAAAGATTATAAATTGGAGAAGAGTTACAGAACCTTTGTGGATGGAGGGAATTTCCTATACTGATAAAATCACAGGTTACAGGTCTAAACCAGAAAAAAAAATTCTCTTTCCATCTGTTGTAAGTTTCTTGAGTGCGGGTGCATATTTATCTTTGCATCTGCCTCAGGCTCTGACTAGTTTGTGTTTTTCCATGTATTCGGTACTTAATGATTATATTGGAGTTTTTGCTTTACAGTGTATTAAGTGTCATCACAGACTTTTTTTGATTCTTTTCACAGGCCTTTGACATATTAGCAAGGTGATGGGGGTAGTGTCTTCATTTTCTTTAAGTGATAGCTCAGAAAGGGTTAAATGATTTGTTAAAGGGCACATGTTAGGTGGTGGAACCAGGCTCAAACTGTTTCTTCTCTCATCAAGCCCCCAAATTAGTGACCCTCATCTCCTCATTACTCTAAAAGGGTACTTTAACCATTTTTATGAGATAGACATATTTGGCAGTTTTGGCATTTGACTAAGAATGGACCCATTCTCAAAATGTTTTTAAATGTAAAATAAAACACATATGATTACAAAAGAAGTTAATTAAATTGAAATACAGTTACCAAGGTAGTTTTAAAAATTGTGATATAGTTATATATGCTTTCTTGGTTTATTAAATAACAAGAAAATACATTTAAAATAAAGACATGTTAAAATTAAATTTTATTTTTAAAGACATCAGTATGAAAGCTGTTGTTTAGCTTTAATATGAATATTAAACTGGTGGCCTTTGACAGTACAACACGTGTCATATTATACATTAAATCAATGTCAGTTTCTTATTGGATGATTAAAAATGTTGAAATTCCCAGTTTGTAAAATATATGTTGATGCAAATGTAATTAAAGCTTCCAAAGCTTGGTTTATGCAGTTAGAATAATCTCAAAATAGTGATGAGTGTAAATGGTATTTTGAGATCTGCAAAGGTTGTAATGTGATATCTGTGATTTCTATTGGTGCCAAAGTTGCTACTCCTGTGGTTGCCTACATTCATAAATTGAGGGAAATGATGCTAAATTTCAGTTAGGGATAGTGAAAATAGATGCATTTTTTTTCTAACCAAATTCACAGATCCTTGGAAATCTTAGATTTTTTAGAATTTTTACCCTTTCTCTAAGCCATTGATTTATTTTTCTGCTTTGCTCATTAGATAGAAGTCATGTTTTCTGTATCTGCAAAACTTCTGTTTTCTCAGTACCACTTTTTCTTCCCACTGACAGACTTCCCTTATCTTCAGTCTTTTTATCTCTCTTGGTTCCTTTCCTTCTGCCTATAAATATGTTTGTCTCCTCTATCTTGAAAACACCTTCTACAGATCCTACTATCCTTTCCTTCTTCAACACTTTCATGTTCTTTTTTGTGTTGAAATTCCAAAAAAAGAGGAATTTATGCTTACTGTTTCTTTGCCTGTACCACCTACTCACTCATCAACTCCCCAGTGCATTCTTGCTTCTGTCCCACTACTTTGCAAAATATGTTCTCTGTCAGTTGCCAGCTATTTATTAATTGTCAGATTCATTGGCCTTTTCTCAGTCCCTTGACTCTCTGCAGCATTTGACGCTGTTGTGTGAATACTCCTTCCTACTTGATGTTCTTTCCTCTTATCTTTGACTACTACTCACTTTCCCTCATTTGTGTTCTCTAAGGTTTGTTATGAGCTATTTTCCCTCTCTGTATGAAAAATTTTCTTTTGGCAATCACATTTACTCTAACTAATGGCTTCAATTATAATCCATATATAGATAACTCATGAAATTTTTATCTCTAACCCCTAACTTTTCCCCTAGTTCCATTCTCTTATTTCTACTTTCCTGCTAGGATGTCTTCTGCTGAGTGTCCCTGAAAGTCAGTATATCTGAAACCGTACTCATCATCTTCTATCTAGAACCCATCCTTATATTTCCCACTAGTGTTGATGACACTGCAGTTCTCCCAATCATGTAGGCTTGAAAGCTTGGAGTCATTCTTTTCCTTGAACTTGCATGCCCAATCAAATGCTAAAGGCACTAAATTGTACTTTGGCAGTACTTCTTAAATCTGTTCTCTCTCTCTCTCTCTCTCTCTCTCTCTTGCAAGGTGATTGGGGTTAAGTGACTTGCCCAAAGTCACATTACTAGTGAGTGTTATGTGTCTGAGGCTGTGTTTGAACTCAGGGCCTCCTGACTCCAGGGCCAGTGCACCATCTTGCTGCCCCGTTCTCTCTTTTCTGTTTGTACTGCCACCACCCTAGTTCAGGCTCTTATCTTATTTTTCTTGAATTTACATAATAACCTTCTAGCTGGTCTTCCTACATATGAATATCTTTCTTCTCCAAACTATTATTTACATTATTACAAAAGTATTCTTCCTAATGCACAGGTCTGATTGTTTCTACAAAACCTTCAGGGCTTCTCTTGGTGTACTGAGTAAAATGTTGTCCTAGCATTTAGAGTTTTTCATGATCTGGCATCAACCTTCTTTTCAGCCTTATTTCATGATATTCCCTTGGGGTATTGATTGTTTCCTCTTCCTCTTTCCTGCGCCTTTATCCTTTGTCCCATTGACAGTGAGTAGCTCCTTTATTAAGTCTTTTGATATTTCCAGTCATAAGAGATAATAAATTGATGCTTTTTTGATTATGGCTTCTTTAGACCTGGCATGGCAGCTGTAAACAGCTTTGAAAGAATACCAAGCAGTGTAATCAAATGTGTACATTGTGTGGTGTTGCTTTCTCTGAAATGTGACTAAAAGAGGGAGGTCAAAAAGATCTCAGATTTGTAGATAGCCCTTCTCCAAGTGAATTAGAAATTTATCACAATTAATTTAACTATCCTTCTTTTTATATGCCTATCAAAGTCATTCAAGAAGTATTTGTTAAATGTTTGCTGTGTACCAGGCATTGTAGTAAGCTCTAGGGATACAAAGAAAGGCAAAAGGTGCCCCTGATCACAAGGAGCTCAAGCATCTAATTGAGGAGACAACATGCAAACAAGTATGTACAAATAAGGTATATAAAAGATAAACTGGAGAAAATCTCAGAGGGAAGGCATGGACAATAAGGAAGACTGGGAAGGGCTTTTTGCAGAAGGTAGGAGTTTAGCTCAGACTTGAAGAAAACTAGGGAAGCCAAAAGGTGTAGATGAGGGAATGAGCTGCAGGCTTGAAGGCCAGCCAGTGCAAATGAATGGAGTTGGCAGGTGGGAGTAACTTTTGGGAGCAATAGCAAAGAGGCTAGTGTCACTGAATCACAGAATATGTGAAAGGAGAGGACTGAGATTTAAGAAGACTTGGAAGTTAGGAAGGGACCAGGTTATAAAAAGCCAAACAGAAGATTTTATATTTGATCCTGGAGGTAATAAGGGGGCCTCTGGAGTTTAATGATTTGGGGGTGATATGGTCAGACTTTTCATTTTTTAGGAAGATCACTTTGACAGCCGAATGGAGGATAGACTGGGAGTAGGGAGAAACTTGAGGCAGGCAGACCAACCAGCAGGCTATTGTAGTAGTCAGGTGTGAGGTGAGAGCCACTTGCATAAAAATGTGACAACACAGGTTAAAAGGAAAGTTTTATATATAAGAGAAGTTGCAAAGGTAGAATTGACAGGACTTGGTAACAGATTGGATATAAGGGGTGAAAAGTCAAAGATGACTCTTTGATGTGAGCCTGAATTACTGGGAGGATGATGGTGCCTTGAATAGTAATAGGGAAATTGGAATGTGGGAAGGGTTTTTGCAGAAAAATTTTGAGTTCAGTTTTAGATGTGTTATGTTCTAATGTCTGTTGGACATCTATCCTGAGATGTCCAGTAGGCAAGTGAAGCTGTGAGATTGGAGGTGAAAAGAGAGGTTAGGGCTTTATAAATAGATCAGAAAATCATCCGAATAGAGATAAAAATTGAATCTGTTGTTGTTGTTGTTTGTCCTTCTTTCTTGAAGAGGACTGTGACCTTAGGGAGGATGCAGTGACATGCAAGTGACTTGGATTTAAGTGAGGGAGGGCTGTTGAAAGTCACCAGCCTCACTTTGTCTTCCAGAGCCTTCTGGGTCCACTGGCGAGATAGGTTGGGACAACTGGAGATGGCCCTGAATGCAGTGGGAGACCTTGGCCTTTTTAAGTTAAGGTCTTTTAACAGGTCTCAGTTTGACTTTGCACAGCCCTCTGTCACTTAAATCCATTTCACTTACATGTTGTGGAATCACAAACAATAACCACTGTGAGTAGAAATAGTTGATGCCCTACTGGGGACCCAATTGGAACTGGCCAATTGGGTTGCACAGTGCCTTTCTTCCTTTCCTTCCACCTTTTTTTTTCCCCTTAAGGACCATGCTTTAAACCCAAATCACTTTGGCTCTCATCGATTGGTCAACAGTGCATCCCAGGCCAAGCCCCACTTGGTCTTTGTTTGGGCCCTGGTTGGCTCAGGGAAAATATAAATAGCAGTTGTTTCTATTTTGGCCAGGAACCCTGAGGTCTATCCCTCCCAGATAGTTTTTTTTTTTTAACTAGGTACAGAGGCCATTCTCTGCCTCAATTCTTACCTAGCCTTAATCACTGAATTGAATCTATTGGAGCTGATGAGTTCACCAATAAAATATTGTAGATAGAGAAGATAAGAGGGTAGAGGACAGAGCCCTGAGGGATACTTACAGATAGCAGCCATAACTTGAATAAAGATGCAGCAAAAGACACTTAGGAGAAGAGGTCAGACAGGTAGGAAGAGAACTCGGAGCAGTGTCAGGAAAACCTGGAGAGAAGAAAGTATCAAGAAAAGGGTAATTGATAGTGCTAAAGGCTGCAGAGAGGTCAAGAAGGTTCACATAGATTTTTTTTAAAGACATGTGTGCAAATAGAAGAATTGATCTATCCTGTGACTGTAACATGTTTCGACCTCGATTAAGAAAATAGATAGTTCTAAAAAATTTCATGGGGGCACAGAGAGGTTAAATGACTTGCCTATGGTTATACATTGAATAGTGGGGGAATCAGGACTTATTCTTCATTTTGCTGACTTCCAAGCAGACCCTTACTCTACTGTGCTGCATAAATATTTTTTAAACAAGAGGTAATTTTTTTAATATATTTTTTTCAAGTTACATGTAAAATTTTTTCCATATATGTTTTAAAAAATTCTGAGTTTCAGATTCTCTCCTTCCCTCTCACCCCTCCCATCCCCATTGAGAAGCCAAGCAATTTTATTTTATTTTATTTTTTCAGCCAGAGACAAGGTTTATTAGAACATCTGCCATATTGGCCAGACTCTTAAGGAATCTAAGCATTTATATCACTAATACAAATGGGCCAGATCTTAAGAATCTGAGCACTTTAATGGAGACAAGATACAGAAAGACTGTGGAAGGCATCTAGGAGTGGCCAAGTAGTTTGGGGTGATTGGAGGAGGGATCTAAGGAAGATCTGGATGGTAGTGGGCAGTGAACTGGGGTGAACAGAAGGCCAGGGATCTGGACCACCTTCTTCCCACCAGTGTCACATTCTTTCAGAATAGCTAGTGGCATTTCTCTCAGATGGTGGATTATTGATTATTGATGGATTATTATGATCCATCAGACAACTCAAAATAAAATCACTCACTCTCTGTAGTAGATTTTTGTTTCAGATTTTTCTAACACATGCCTTCCAGTCTTGGCTGGAGAAGAGCTTGGGGTTAGGCAGCTTCCCTGTTACAGGCCACCAGAAAGTTGAGGTTTAGAGATTTAGGGTGCTGGGACCCCAAAATCGCAACATGTGAGTCGTTCCTGAGTGAATTCGACCCAAACCTTCTTTCAGCCAAAGACAAGATTTATTAGAACGTCCGCCATATTGGCCAGACTCTTAAGGAATATAAGCATGTGTATCACTAATGCAAGTGGGCCAGATCTTAAGAATCTGAGCCTTTGGTTACATTTTAAGCGTCTGAGTGCCAAGCAGTTTTATTTAGATTATACATGTGTAGCCTTGCAAAACAAATTTGTATATTGGCCATGTTGCAAAAGGAAACACAGACAAAAAAAAAAACCCCACGTATCATCATTGATTTTTACTACCTTTTCCTCTCCAGAGTCACCTCCCCTTTCCAGTTAACTTAACAGTTTATCAGTGGCTTCATTGTCCTTTTAGTCTCACAGGCTCAAAATCATAATTCTTTTTTTGCTGTTGAGAAAAAAAATTTATGTAACCAGTCACCAAGTCCTATCTTGTCTTACCTTAAAAATAATTTCTTTCTGATAGTATTGCTTCTACCTGAGACCAAATCTTCATTATCCAAGTCTGGATTATTCAGCCTCCTAATTGGTCTCCCTGCCTTTTCCTTCTACGGAAAATCCATATTCTGAACAAAAGTGTGAGATTATTTTCTAAAATTATATTTTAAAGTTGTCCCACTCAAATTTGAAAACTGTCGGTGAACTTTGTATACCCTCCTCTGGCTTTGATTTCAGTAATACCCTAGACTCTTAAGAGTTTAAAGGTATAAAACAAATGTGCTGTTCTTAAAAAATCACTCCGTAGCTTAATTGCTGATATTCCTTTGTATAAAGATTCAGGTGTGTGTAAGGTTTTAATAATAGTAACTTCAATAGTCTTTGGTATATTTATGAAGTTTACTTATTTGAGCAACTAAAATAGTACTCTGCTTAAAAGTACACATAGAAGATAGAGTCTAAGGAGGTGCAGGAGTGCTATCAGAAAACAGCCATTACAAAATCAGAGGTGGAAGATGAAAGTTCGAGTTTTGAGAAGAGCTAATAGACTACCTTTTCTGGAATATAGAAAGTACATGAAGGGGAGTGATATGAAATACATTTGGAAGGTTAGGTAACAGCCAGACTGTGTAATACCTTAAATGCAAGCTGGGTAAGGAATTCTTACAAAGGTAATCGGGCTTCACTAAAGCTTTTTGAACGTGTTAAGGCTATTAATTTGACAGCTGTGTGGAAGACAGGTTAGAGAGAAATTTGGCAACTGATTGGTTATAGAGGCTAAGGGGAAAGAGTAAAGAGATCAGATTTTCTCATGTTGTTATCTTCTAGAGTTTTGCAGGAAGTTTTTCAAAAATAGCTGGCACTTAAAAATAACTGTTCTTAGACTTTGATCAGGAAATAATCAGACAATTATTGAACTGGAGTACTTTTCTATGACTCATCTGTTGTGCCAATATAGCCTTTAAAAGTCTGTTTTTCTAGCCTTGTAATGGCAATGCAATGTTTGCTTCCATGTAATTGGTGTATTCTGATGTACAAATAGAAATTGTCATTGCCCGGAAGGGTGTGTCTAACTTGCTAGTTTGCACTGAAATTGGACTAACTAGGTTGGGCTTTGGGTGTAGAATGTAGGCCATAAATTAAATGTGGTTAGCTCCTTTGTGTGCTTAAAAAGGATCAGTTTTATAAAAAAAACTTTGTTAAATTTAAATATATAAACAGGAAGATATTGCTGTTATTTTAATGCTACTTTAAAACTAAATTTTCTCTCATGTCTTTTTCTTTAGAAGCAAAGAAGAGGCAGTGTAAAGTTCTCTATGAGTATATTCCACAAAATGAAGATGAATTAGAGCTCAGGCTGGGAGATGTTATCGATATCAATGAAGAGGTAAGCAAAATAGATGTTAGAGATAAATAATGCATTTGATCTACCTTTTTTAGTGCTTTGTTTTTAAAGGAAAAATATGCGGTTTCTTTTTTGAAAAATCACGAAGTAACTTTATTGCTGCCTACTTCCTTTGTATAAGGATTCAAGTATATGTATGTTTTTAATGATAGTAAGTCCAGTAGGCTTCAGTATATTATAAAGTTTACTTATTTGTGCAACTAAAATAGTACTCTGGTTTAAAAGTATTCATAAATGATCACTTATGCATATCTAGATCTGAATATATTCTTTTTACTGAATTTGATATGTGCAATCTTTTTGTGGACTTTGGATTATAACTCTGTTATAGTGTTAATTACATAAAAATTTTTCTTTGTTGAAATTTTCTATTGAAATTTTTAATCAAAGTAAACATGTATAAGCTCTTTGATTCTGAGTTTAACAAAAGCCTGAGGGGGGAAAATAAGATGCTTTTTTCCTCTTAATAGAATTCAGTGGTAGAAACTAATTTTTTAGATTTCTATAATTAACACCAAATAAAATGATCATTTCCACATATAAAGTTAAACAGAAAAAGGATTATATATGAAACCTAAAATCTGTTTTCCTTTTAAGTAGACAATAAATTCAATAAGTGACTTTTAGAGTTTTCCTGTATTCTGTTTCCTTTTAGTCCTTCTTTTGTTCTCTTATGTGCATTTTAAAAAATGTTTCAGTGACTCTTTTCTTCTTTTCTAGGCCACTGGAATGTTAGTTTCCCTTTCTCCCACCTGCTCTTCTAATTCAAAACAACCCTCTCCCCCTTTTTTGAACAGATATTCATAGTCAAGCAAAGCAAATTCCCACACTGGCAGTTTTTGAAATTTGAGTAAATTTCATTATTCAGATTGAGTGAGTTTGGCCTGTGGCATAGATTCTTAACTTTTTTTTGTTTTTGTCGTATTTCTTTTGGCATTCTGGTGAATGAAGCCTCTAGACTTCGAAGAATACTATTTTTTAAATACATAAAATATGTAATATTACAGAGGAATGCAACTGTGTTGTAATATGGTTATCAAAATATTTAAAATACTAGGTCATGGATCCCAAGTTAAGAATTTCTTGGCTTTCGGCATTTTGGATATTCTTGAAAGCATTTATGCCAACTAAACCCTTTCCTCCTACCCTCCTTCCCACCAGGCATCATTACCGCTTAGAATTGGTTTTTAAATATTCCCAACTTCTCTCTACCTTTAATCTAGGATTTTCTTGTTTTTAAAGAGAGCATTATTTTATAAATTTTCTTGGTAGTTGTCTGTAATAAGGATTCTTATCTCCAAGTATAAATTTGAAGAATAAAAAGTTACCCTGTATTCTGGTGGGGAGTCAGATCCATATAATTGTTGTCAATTTATTTCTCTGTTTAGATTTGCTTGCTTAAATTTTGAAGAGGTTTTCTATATTAATCTTTGAAATAAATATAATATATCATATACAATATAATTACATTACTACCAAATGCCCAAAAAGTTCCTTGATCAAATAGTACCAGCTATTAATCTGAAAGTAAGGGTGTAATATGAGATTTGTATAAGAATTGTGAATTTTCCAGAATTAAAATTATTTTTAAAAATATCTCTTTAGTAAAACAGCCGATATTAAATGGTGTTATCAAATTTTCTATGAAGCAGCATAATATTGTAGATAGATTGCTGGCTTATGATCCAGGAAGACCTGGGTTTGAAACCTACCTCAGACACATTCTTTGCAAGTCACTTAACCTCTCAGTGCTTTAGACAGTTTTCTAAAACAGTAAATTGAAGAGAATTTATCACTGCAGTGGTAAAGAGAATTGGCATCTCTGGAGTTTCCGTTATCAAAGAAATCACACTTCTAGTCTCTTTCTCTCCCTATTTTTTTCCCTAAAGAAGATGAACAGGGAACATTAAAAAAATTTTTTTATTTTAAATTTTATTGCATTTTTAAAAACTTAACAGAAATCTGTTTTCTCTCCCACCTCCTTCCAAATGAAGGAAAAAAAAAAACTCTTTGTAACATATATGCATAGTCAAGCAAAATAGATTCCAGCATTGGCTACGGCCAAAACATGCCTCATTCTGTACCCTGAGTTCATCACCTCTCTGTCAGAATGCGGGCAGCATGCTTCCTTATTAGTCCTCTTCAATTGTGGTTGAGCATAGTATATTTATATACTATAATTGTTCAGCCTTTCTCTAATTTATGGACATCTCTTAGTTTCCCATTCCTTGCCATCACAAAAAGACCTACTATAAATATTTTTATACATATGAGGCCTCTTTTTCTGTGATATCTTAGAATTATAGGCCTGGTAGTAATATTGTAGGGTCAAAGAGTATGTCTTATCTAGTACCTTTTGGGCATATTTCCAAATTGTTTTTCAGAATGGCTGAACCAATTCAAAGCTTCATCAGCAGTGCATTAATGTGCTCTTCCCCATTCCTTCAAGCCTCTGCAACATTTTCTTTTTCTTTTTCTTTTCCTCATTTTTGACAATCTGTTGACTATGAGTTGGAACCTCGGAATTATTTTAATTTGCATTTCCTTAACAGTGGTTTGGAGCAGTTTTTTCCCCATATGCCTTGATTATCTTGAACTTCTCCCTTTGAAAACTACTTATTCATTTTCATTAACCATTTGGGCAATAGCTCTAATTTTTATAGATTTGAACCAATTTCTTGTATGTATTGGAAATGAGACCTTTATCAAAGAAAGTTGCTGCAAAGATTTTCCCCCCACTTACCTGCTTCCCTTGTAATTTTACCTTCATTTTTTTCATTTGTACAAAAACTTTAATTTTATCTAATCAGAATTTGGGTAGGTAGGTGATGCAATGGATAGAACACCAGGCCTGGAGTCAGGAAGACTTGAGTTCAAATATGACTAAAGACACTTAGTAGCTGTGTGACCCTCTTTGCCTCAGTTTCTGTAAAATGAGCAAAGGAAATGGCTAACTACTCTAGTATTTTTGCCAAGAATGGAATCATGAAAAGTCGGACGTGATTGGCAATAACTGAACAACAACAACAAATCAGAATTACCTGTTTTGTTTTCCATGATCCTTTCTATCTCTTTTTTGGTCAAGTTTTAAATAAAACTAAAGCCTAATGGATAATTTGTTACTTTTGTAATTCTAATTTAATGGCGACAACTTAAAATAATTCTGACTTGATAATAGTATATGCTTAGTCTTGATTTGATTATTCTTTTCCATTTTACCTTGTAATCTTATGCCTCCTGGACTTGTTCATGGATCTGAGGCTTTGTACCAGTTTCTCAAAGATTTGTATAATTTTTTTTACAACTTTGCAGGTGGAGTACTTCAATTTTAGGGATTTTCCACAAGTTTTCATCTTTCTCAGGATGCATTTACTCTTATCTCTCCCCACCCCCCACTTTGAGGATAGTATACAAAAAAGACTTAAGTGGGAAGACAGAATATTTACCTACCTGGAAAAAAATTGAGTACAGCTTGCTCACTAATTGATTAGAGTATAATTGAGGTCTCTTCCAGCCCTAGATCCCATGTCATAATCTAAAAACATAATAAAAGCCTGTTGTACTCTGGTAAATTGAAAATGGTTAAAAAAAAAAAAAGAAACAAAAAAAATTAACTAATTATTGTTCACTAATTAGTGGTCATAGGAGTGAAACATCATCAAGAAGTAGCAAGTCAAATAATATAGCTAATTATTAGAATACCTTTCTACTATTAGCAAAATAATGTAATTACTTTTATTATTTATTAACATTCCTATTATTGATCCTAGAGAGCTGCTTAGCAATCTTTTTAACATTTTCTAGTTATTTGCATGCAAGAAATTTTTCTTGTTTTTGGATCACTACATAGGATTTATAGGACTGGAAGATACTTATCATCTAGTTCAGTCTTTTTATTTTACGGAGGAGGAAATGCAGGTCCAGAGAAGGGAAGTGATTTGCCTATAATAATATAGGAAACAGTGCTAGGACTAGAACCCAGCCTCTTTGACTGTAAATTCAGTTCATATGAGATTATGTTAAGATATAGGATGATACAATTGAAAGAATGTTGAATTTGGAGCTGGAAGATGTGGATTTGAATCACTTTAACTCTTTGGGCCTTAGTAAGGTGAAGGGGTAGAGTAGATGGTCTGTGTGGTTCTCTTCAGCTACAATTAAATTATTTACCTCCTTGAGATGTCTCTGACATTTGCATGTTGTAGACATTCCAGGCCTATTGGACCTTTATGACAGCAAATCTTCTACCTAGTGTCTTCACCCTCAGTCTATTATATATAATTAAAGAAAGCTTCCTAAAATACTGTTTGCCTCATGTCAGTATTTTGTATTTCTTACTGTAGATTTCTTTTTTTGCCTTTCAGGGTTTTCTTTACTCAAAGTCTCAATTTTATCTATTCAACTATATTTCCTTTTATCTTTAACATCTCGAGTCTACTCCATTCTAATTGATTTTCTCATTGTACTTGCCCTTCATACACTATGCCACTTCTGGCCTCTTCCTTTGCTCTTACTGTTTTACCTACATATGTCTTTGTTCCTCTCTGTTGAAGTAACATATCCAGGTTTCATCATGATTGTAAGGTGTAATCTCATAATTTGGAATGCCCTCCTCTTCTTTACCAATAAAAATTCTTCCCAGACCTCAAGACTTAGTTCAAGTTCCATTTCTGCTGTTACATTATCTGACTACTCCAGTTCTTATTAATTTTTCCCTTCTCTGAATTCTTTTTTATTTTTACTATCAAGACTATTTATTCAGTTTTGCATGTAAGAATTTCCTAGTTTCCAGCTGCCTTAGAAATTATCTAGTCATATTTTAGAGGTAGATGAAATTTTATGAAATATCACAGTGCTTTTAGAGATGGAAGGAACATTGGATTTTATAATCAAGAGACCTAAGTTCCTTTATAACCAATAATTACTGGGTGACCATGGTCAAATCACTTCTTTTCTGCTGGTTTTGGTTTCCTCCTGTCTAAAGTGGGGATAAAATAATACTTTTAGTACCCATTTCACAGTGTTGTAAAGTGCATTGTAAATGTTAATGTACTTTGTAAGTGAGTTACTTTTAGTGTCCTTTCTTCCCCTTATTTTACACATAAAGATACAAGGTCAAGGTGATTTGCTCAGCATCAAACAAGTCTCTCTTGACTCTTAACTATCATAGAATTCACCAGTGGAAGGACCTTTTGTAACTCATCTCTCCCTGGCACTCTCATTTTACATAGGAGAAAATTTAGGCCCAGAGAAGGAAAATGAATTGCCCAAATTCACACAGGTAGTAAGTAAAAAGCCAAGGTTTGAACCTAGGTACTTGTGACTCCACGCATAGTGTATTTTCCACTATATCATTCAGTTGCCTCCTGTTGAGGACCTTCTTCTACCAGTGCTGGTTGGTACCTGATTGTTTGCACGTTTTGGATATCTGGTAGGCAACTTGAACTCAACATATCCAAAACAAAACTCTTTATCTTTTCTCTAAAACCCTCTACTCCATTTTTGTCAAGGGGTCCACAATCCTTTTCACACAGGTTCACAACCTTAGAGTTATCTTTGAATTTTTTCTTTATCCTACTCCCTTCATACCCAATCAGTTGCCATGTCTTTCAGTGCAAATATCACAACATGTCTTGAATTCATCCCTTTTTCTTAATTTTTGGCCACTACTAGTTCAGGCATTCATTGCCTCTTACCTAGATTGTTACAGTATGGTAGTAATTTTTCCTCACTGCTTCCAGTCTCTTACTGTATTATAATTTTTTTGTTAAATGTAAAAGACAGTTAATTTGAACTCCAGCTGTGTTGTCAGCTTATTATTGGAAACTAATTTTATTTGGCTTTTTAAACTTTTAAATGTTTGTTTGTAAATTTACATACTCTTTTCTATGCATTTATTAACTTGAAAAGTAGCATTTTGCGATGTTCAATGAATGTTAAGCACCTGTTGTATGAGGTACATTGTGCTAGGTGCTGGGGAAACAGATAATAATAAAAATTAAGATGTGTTTAGAAGCTCAAAACTTTTAAATTTAATGTAATCAAAATTATCCAGTTTGCATTCCATAATATTCTCTATCTCTTCGTAATAAATTCTTCTGTTCTCCATAAATCTGACAGGTAAACTATTCCTTGCTTTCCGTAGTTTACTTTTAATATTAGCCTTTATATGTAAATCGTGTACCCATTTTGACTTTATCATGGTATATGGTGTAAGATGTTGGTCTATGCCTAGTTTCTGCCATACTGTTTTCCAGTTTTCCCAGTAGTATTTGTTAAATAGTGAGTTTTTATCCTTGGGTATTTTTCTAGAGGCAATTTATTAATTCTTTCATTTGGTATTTCATCTTCTGGATTCAGAATTTTGTGTATTATTTCTTATATTATAGTGTTCAGGTTTTTTGGCTTGTTGTGTTCTTCTGGGAAACCTACAGTTCTTAGGTTGTTTCTATGCATCTTGTCCTCAAGATTGGTATGTTTTACTTGGATAGAGAGCATATTTCTTTAATAAATTTTTTTTTGCCTTTTCTTTTTCTGGATTGTCTTTCACTTCACGTATTTACATTCCTAATTTATTGTCCTCTCCTTTGGTGAGACTTGTCATTGTATGTTCAAATTTTTTTGTTTTGTCAATTATTTTTGCTGTTCAGGCTGTAAAATTTGCTCCTTCCTTCCTTCCTTCCTTCTTCCCTCCCACTCTCATTCCCTCCCTCTTGCCCAGGGCCAGTGCTCTATCCACTGCACCACCTAGCTACCCCTCTCATTTTTCTTTTAAAGCACTCTGGAACAGTGTGTTGTGATTCCATGATCTGCTCAGATTCTGTAGGGTCATCTTTCTCATCAAGTGTTAGATCATTTTCTTTTGTTTTGCTGCATTAATTTTTTTTAAAGGTTCATTAATTTTTAGTTTTCAACATTCACATACACAAGATTTTGAGTTCCAGATTTTCTCCCCATTTTGTCCATGCCCCAACCCCAAGACAGCGTGCATTCTGAATACCCTTTCCCCTAATCTGCCCTCTACTTCTATCTCCCCTTCCTCTTCTGTTTTTCTGTAGGACAGGATAGATTTCTAGTTCCTCTCTTCTTCATTTCTCTGGCTTGCCAGTTCAGATGTATCACACAGGTGCCATGCAACCAGAGGTGATTTTTGCTATGTAGAGTTTAGGTCTCCAAGGCTCTGGGACAAAGGGGTGGAGGGTTAGAGTGTAGGGTTGAGTTCTCCTTTAAGCCCAGATATGTGTCCTGCCCTGTTCCCTCTGTTCTTCCATTCTCCTTCAGAAATCTGTTGCAGCACAGAATGCTGCCATGATGCTTGGCCACTGAAGAGTCAACAAACTCCCACATCCTGGAGCAGGGTCTCCTTGGCACTGGAAAGAGGAAGGACCAGTGTTTGGGACTGGGTTTTGTTGCAAGTCCATGGGTCAGGTCTTGGGGTTGGCTGGTGCAGCCTTGTTGCCTGTAGTATGAGTGGTGGAAAAGAGTATGTTGAGTGAGCTCAAAGTAGGCTTTTTTAAAAAAAATTTAAATCTTTTTGGTTTCTGGTTGTCCTAGATCATGGAGACAGTTGAAGTTGCTTTATCTTTTAGGCGTACTTTCTGTCTCTCTCTCTCTCACACACTCTCTCTCTCTCTCTCTCTCTCTCTCTCTCTCTCTCTCTCTCTCTCTCTCTCCCTCTCCCTCCCCCTCTCCCCCACTCCCCCTCTCTCCCTCCTCCCCCTCCCTCTTTTCCTCTCTCCTGCCCATCTGTCTTCTCTTCCTCAACCATAACCAATCAATTGCCACATCTTATAATTTCAGTTTCTTCCTCTGCAATATCCTTCAAGCATGTCCCCTCCTCTCATATAGCCACCATTCTAGTTTAGACTCTCATTACTTTTTGTGTTTACTATTGTAATAGCCTTCTAATTCAATTCCCTGCCTTGTCTCTTTTTACTTTAAATTCCTACTCCACTTATCTGCCAAAGTGATTTTCCTGAAGTATAGGCCTGACCATATCAACCCCTTCCTATTTAGTGATTGCTATAACCAATGATTCCCTATTACCTGTAACAATAGTCAGAAGCTCCTATCTTTGGCATTTAAAGTTCTTTACAACCTGGCTTCTTCTGTATTTACAGGCTTTTTAATCAGTCTCTTAATCTACTTTATATACTCTGTGGTACAGCCATACTGGCCTGCTTGCTGTTCTTCACATGAGATGCTTCATCTTCTTTGCACCAGCACTTATATTTCTAATACTCTTCTCTCCTCACCTTTGCCTCTTAGGATCTATGGCTTTTAAGACTCAGGTCAAGTGCCACCTTCTGTTTTGTTTTTGTTTTTGTTTTGTTTTTTGGGGTTTTTTAAGGCAGTTGGGGTTAAGTGGCTTTCCCAAGTGTTTGGTCTGAGGCCAGATTTGAACTCAGGTCCTCCTGACTTAAAGGCCGGTGCTCTATCCACTGTGCCACCTAGCTCCCTCAAGTGCCAACTTCTGTAGTACTCCTACAGAACTTTTCCCTCCAGTTGATAGTACTTTCCCCTCTAATGTTACCTTACATTTACTCTTACTTGTTTTGTATATACTGATTTATGTATATTTTTTTCTTTCAATTAAAGAGTAGGGACAATTTTTTTATCCGTAGGGCTTAGTATAGTGATTGGCATATAATAAGCACTTAATAAATGCTTTATGATTAATCTTTGCTCTGTTAATATTTTTAGTATTTTTATTTTTTAAAAAAGCAAAAAAATGAATTATGAACTCTCTTAGGTAGAAGAAGGCTGGTGGAGTGGAACTTTGAACAACAGATCAGGACTATTTCCCTCAAATTTTGTGAAAGAATTAGAGATAGCTGACGATGGAGAAGCCCATGAAGCTCAAGAGGAATCAGGTAAATCATATTGAAATTGGAATGTAGCATAGTATTTTATTGATTGATCAAGTGATCAATAAAGAGGTGTAGCATTTTTAAAAAATCTTAACTGATGGGGAAACAGTGTGTACTGTCCTATAATTTTTAAGAACTCCTTCTGATATCAGTAATTTACTAGTCGTCTTGCTTGATGACCATTTGAACCTTTTAGCTAATTCACACATAATTTCAGACTTAATGAAATTATGGAAGGATCCCAATGATAGAATCAAATGAGATAATGTTTGTAAAGTTGCTTAGCATAGTACCTGTCATATAGTAGGAGCTTAATAAATTCACATCTCTTTCCTTCTTTTCCCTCTCCCTTCCCCTCCCCTCCACTCTTGAATAAAGAGTGGAGAATCAAACAACCAGGGAAGAGAAACTGAATTAGGAAAGTGATAGAATGGAATTTTTTTAAGATTATGACTATTCAGTCAATACTCTTTCCGTTGTTCTATGCTAATCCATTAAGGACTAGCTATGTAGGAAACAGTGATAAAGAAGTTCTCTGACCAAAGATATGTATAAATAAGGTGGTCTCTCAAGGATTATTGATGATGCTGGTTTAATTTATAACTGAGACTTCCCTGGAAACATCAACCTAGAATGTAATGTTTATTAATCACTAATGACTGATGAAATCAGCTAGTCAGTTCTTCATTAAGATTAGGGGAGGAGTAGGGCTGAAAGCTAGGGTCTCATTCATCCTTTGGAAATAGGAAATGATTGAGGTAGTAATACCAAGGAAAGATATATCATTCAACGTATACATATATACAGTTTACAAACTATAAAGAATTTAAAAAGTACAGGTAATAACCATTATAATACCATACCTTGAATTATGAAATACTTCCAACTATTTTGTTTGTGATAGGCCTTGATGTTGCTTATCATTTTATTTTAACACTAGTTTTTTCAACTTTTCCCTAAGACTGATTTGAGTTTAAGTTTTAGATATAATGGTTTTTATTGATGACGATATGAGCTAGACTCTAAAATTAAGTGGGGAGCCTGAAATCTTGAGTAAAACAATATCTGGGTGTAACTTTTCCTTTAGTTTCTTTGCAAAGACATTAAAGTTTTTATGTTAATGTTACAATTTTAAATGCTAAGACTTTTGAATTCTAACTCTTAGCTTAGCTTAATTTTTAGTAACTTTGAAGAATTGCCAGTATAAAAATGAAGGCTTATAAATATAGAGCTAGAAGGACTTTACCATGTATTTGTCATACTTTTATCTCCCTCAAATGGAGGCCCAGGGAGGTTTAAATGACTTGTCCAAGGTCACATAGATAGAAATTATCAGAGGCAGGATTTAAACTCAGGTCCACTGACCCCACAGACTGTAACTTTTATCCTGTGCTATGCTTTCTCCCTAGACCTCTCAGTCTAAATCTGGACTTTGTGTTTATAGGTTTGGATTCAGTGGTTGGAAATAAGCTCTAATTCTTAGATGCCAGTTGAATGAATACTTTATGTAGAGCAATTATGGAGAAATTAAATGATTAAATATGTAGTTTAAGTTTTAATTTGAAGATCTTGGTCTTTTGATTTTTGAATAGAAGGATTGTAGAAGTCTCCCTTTTGCCTTAAACATCATAAACTCTGCTGGATAATGGTCATGTGCAAACTATAGCAATCAAAACAGAAAGTGCTTTCAAACAAAAAAAAAAAGAACACATTTTCTCCCTTGTGTGTTTGTTATATATGTATACATACATATTTATACACATATATATGTATGTACATTATATATTAAATTATTTTGTCTTGTAGATAAATAATATTATATATATAAAACATATATCAGTGAAATCAATTATAGCACATTACATATTGGAAGATTGTATTTGTTATGTACAGAACATATATGCCACATTTGCGTTGTTTCCTTCTTCTGCTTTCTCTTTCCCCCCTTCCCTTTTTTTTGAACCACCGTATTCACTCTAGAGCATTAAAATTTCTTAGTATTTGGCATGAAAATGTATATAGTTATTTGAGTCTATTGCATTGTCCTCCCAAAATCTGAACTATGATTATTTTAAACCCTTCCTTTAAAATGACATAAAGATGAATTGGACCAAAGATTTAGTATTATAAAGTTATTTATTGGCTATGGATTAACCAATATTTTTACTCAAGGACCTTATTTTATCTTAAAATTTTTTTTAAATGAGCACTTAACTGGGAGACAAAAATCTCAATTCTATTCTGACTTTATCACTTATTAGCCATGTGACCTTGAGAAGGCAATTAACCTTTATGAAATGGGGATATCTTCCTTGCAAGGCTATCCTAAGGATCAGAAGAAATAACTCATGGAACTATTTCTAAATTGTTTTACATTATGGAAACATATTCTCTTTATTACTTATTCATTGTTCTGCAAGTCTTTGACCTAAAGTAATGAAATTTTGATTTAACTTTGTTGGAGAGGTTAAGGAAAGCACATAACCATATCTGAGAAATCGTTACAGTTTTGCTTATTTCTTTCAGTTTGGGAAGCAAGACACAGAGAGACAAATAAACCAGTTAAGTTATACTTTAAGTAGTAGATCATTGTTAAAATATGTGGTATATACAGTTAATTATGTTGAAATTCAGAGTTGGTAGAGAGATCAGTGTAGCTTAGAATATTCAGATAAGCTTTACATGTGGAGTGAAATTCAAGATTTTTTGGTGTATATTATGTTTTTTATGCTAAATTTTCTTAAAACATTTTTTTTCTTTCAGAAGTTGTTTTTACTAGCCCTACCTCACCTTTAGCCTCTCTAGGAAATGAGAGTGAAACTGCAGCTGGATCAGTTGCACAGCCAAAGAAAATTCGGGGAGTTGGATTTGGAGATATTTTTAAAGAAGGTTCAGTGAAGCTGCGGACGAGAATGTCCAGTAATGAAGTAGATGAAAGAAGACCAGACAAGGTACAGAACTGAACTTAAATTTGTTATACACACAGAACACATGAAAATGTAAAATTCACTTTACTTTTGTTTCATTTGATTTTTTGAGGTGATGAATAAGCTAGTGATCATTTTACCCAAAAAATCTGAGATATATTTTCTCCAAAATAATTTGAATTAGCTCAAGTTGCATATTTTCTAATTCCTCTTTCTTTTCTACTAAAATGTGATATTATTAAGCAGTGGGAGTTTCTTTGTATAACTAGTCTATAAAATGGATAAAATAATAAAATAGGGGAAAATGCTTTCATTTCTGCCATGAATTGCCCTTACTGTTCAAGAGATGATTTTAACAATATGCTTTACAATCAGATAATTGATCACTGTCAGAATTGTTTGTGATTTTACAATAAAAGAAACATATTGGGATGTTTTTCACAAGGATGACCCTCTGCTGTTGTTCAGTTGTTTCAGTCATTTCTGACTCTTTGTGACCCCATTTGAGGTTTTCTTGGCAAAGATACTGGATTGCTGTGCCATATCTTCTCCAGTCCATTTTATGAAAGAGGAAACTGAGGCAAACAGGCTTAAATGACTTGCCCAGGGTCACACAGTCAGGAAGTGTCTGAAGCTAAATTTGAACTCTGGAAGATGAATATTTCTGCCTAGGCCTGGTGCTCTATCCACTGTACCACCTAGATACCTTGAGAAATGTGACCATAAGAAATAATAAATTGTAATGCCAGACAAACAAATCATAGTAAAAATGTTTTTAAAAGAATAAAAATCTTTAAATTTGATTAACTCTTGGGAACAAACAGTTAACCACAAGTTTAATAACTTTTACAAAACCCATCAGGTGGACTATAGCACTTGGAGTTTTTGAAGTATTCATTTTCTCTTTTCATTCTGAAATGTTAACAGGTAGTTCTTAGTGGATTTTTAAATGGCTATTAATTCAGTGGACTTTTTGTTTAGTTGATCTTTTAGTTATGTCTGTAGCTGCTTCTTTCTTTCTTTTTTTTTTTTTTGCAAGTAAAAATCAATTCTGGTGTTTCCTTCTAAGGGTTTGACACCCTTGTGATCCATGGCATTAAGTAGATTTAGATGGAGTTTGTCATCCTGTGAGTTTTTTGGATACTTTCTAAATTGACCATGTTATTTGCTTTGTTGTAGTAGTTTTGATTGGAAGTTGTAGAATTCAAGCTCTTTGAGAGCAAGGATTGTTTTTTCAAATTGTGTTCTTACTCTAGCAAGGCACAATGCATGTGAATTGCATATAAAAGGCATTTAATAAATGTTTGTTGAATTGGACATTTTATTGTACATCGTCATTTGATTAGTAAGAATGATCTTAATATTTTATGATCATCTTAGGTAGTCATTAGTGCCGATGTTAATTATTTCCCCCACCCAAAGAGAAGAAATGAAGGTTCACAAATCTTTAACCATGTGTCATATTTTTGTTGCTGACCTACTAGATAGAAGACTTAGGTGTCTCAAAGGACCATTTAAAGTATTAGTTAGGGACCTACTTTCAGGTAAGATGGTGACATGAAAGTTAATAAAGGAGCCTAGATCTCTTATATCTGCAGTAGCAAAGATCTAAAAAAGACATCAGATCCATTAATGATTCAAGAAATTTAAAACGGAGAAACAAAGAAACAACACTGATTTCCTTCATGCAGTCCAAAACTTAAAGAAGATAGCCTGTATATGCTAGAGAGAGGTCTCTGCCAGGGAAGTTAGCACACATTAAGGCAAACAGGCTTGAATCCTGCCAGTTCACTAACTAAGGAGATCAGAAATCCATAGTTTTCTGTCTGAGAATGTTTTAGGATGGTTAATCATATATTGCCGTGTCTGGAGTCCCTGTGGAAGGTGGAGGAGAGAAGCTGATAGAAAAGCCAAGGAAAGTTTAATCTCTTGTAGGAAACTCAGATATTGTGGACAGGACCAAACAAGGCTTAAATATTCTATCCAAAAATTCACGAGTAGAAGTAGAGACTGGCCAGAGTACAAAGTGCCAAATCATAAATTGAGGCTAGAAACATGAAACAAGAAAATGTCGGACCCAGTGAAGAAGTTCTGTGGGTTAAGAAACGACCAAGGGAGTATTCTGGGAAGATGGTGGAGTAGGTCAGAAAATTCCATGCTCTCCAGATTTCCTCCACAAATAAGACAAAATAGCCTCTCAGGGTGAACTTAGAGCAGGTAAAAATAAGTAAAAGTTGGGGCAAAACAGTGGTCCTCCTCGGACAACCAGAGAAGATTTGAGGTTTGGTCTCTGTGAAGTATGAACACCTCTAGGCTAGGTCCTTTGAAATAGCAAGCAGCAAGCTTTGGAGCTACAGGAATTTCACGTATTGGACAACGTGGGGAGTCAGGTGTCTGAGCAGGGGAAGATTGAGGGAACCTCTGCTGACAAGGGACACCAAGCCCAGCTGTGCTGCAGAGAAGTGGCCCTGGGTGGGAAGGAACTAACCAGCACTGGCAGGTGAATGCAGAAGCAGTAGGCAGGGAATGCTGTTGGCTGTGGATACTCCTAGGAGGGCAGAATTCTTGCTTTCAGTTCCAGGCCAGAGTGGGGAACTGACTGGAGGATCTGAGGCCAGAGACACCATCTCCCATATCCCAGGACTAGAAGTGATTACAATAACAAGCTGCTGTAAATTTAAAAAAAAAAAAAGAGCAGGCAAAGGAGAAAGAACCCAACCATAGAAAGTTACTACGGGAGTAGAGAAGACTATGTGATTGGAAGACTACATAGAAGTTACTATGTAGAAGACTGCATAGAAGTTATTATGGGAGAAGGGTTCATCCTCAGAGGAGGATATTGAAGCAAAAATAGCCTCTTCTACCCCAAAGACCATATCGAATGGTCACCTGCCCGAAAAGAATTCATTGAAGAACTTCAGAATGAGAGAGATTAAGGAAAAATTGAAAATAAGAACAATCTAAGAAAAACAAGAAGATTATGAAAGGAAAGTCAACTAACTAGAAAAGGAGATCCAGAATCTTAAGGAAGAAAATTACTCTTTGAAAAGGATAGTCATAGAATTGGGCAAGGGGAAGCCAGTGAAATTGTAAGAGACCCAGAAATAACAAAACAAAATATAAAGAATGAAAAAATAGAAAAGAAAGTGAAACATCTCATTGGAAAAATAAACTGATCTGGACAACAGATGAAGAAAAGAATGCATAAGAATAATTAGACTACCTGAAAAGTATGATTTTTAAAAAAAGGATCTTGATACAATAATACAAGAAATAACTGAAGAAAATTGTCCTGGAGTGTTATAACCAGAGGGGAAAGTAGAAATAGAAAAAAATCCACCCATCACCACTTGAAAGAGATCCTGTGAGGAAAACCTACAGGAATATCATAGCTAGATTCTGAAACCCCCAGCTCAAGGAGAAAATGTTATGAGTAACAAGAAAAAAACAATTCAAATATGTCAGAGCCACAATTAGAATCACACAAGACCTAGCAATGACTACACTAAAAGGCAGTGGGTCTTGGAACACTATATATTGAAGCGCAAAGACCTGGGCTTAAGGCCAAAAATATACCCAGTGAAGTTAAGCATAATCCTAAACAAAAAAAAAAATGGACATTCAGTAAATTGCCAGACTTTCAGGATTTTGTTGCAGAAAGACCTAAAATCAATAGAAAATTTGACGTAGAAGATCCAAGAGAAATATAAGGTAAACATCAAAGATAGACTGTTACTTTTTAAAACGAGGAAATGCAAATTGTATGTCTAAGGTTGTTATTAGTAATTGGGTAGTTTGAAAGAAGATTTGGATAGAGCTGAGTGTGATCACACACACACACATACACACACACACACACACACACACACACACACACACACATATATATTTAAAAGGGCATAAAAGCCTTCTAAATTCAGAAATAAATAAAAGGGGTAAGAGGATAGGGAGAGAGGAGAGGGAGAGGATAAGGGAGGGATCTTTGGGGGCATAGATTAAGTAATAGGAGGGCAAGGTAGCAGGTAGAAGTAAAGTAGAGGAGTCAGGAGGGATAGGAAATAAGTGATAAACACAAACATAAAAAAAGATCAGGAATAGAATTTATTAGGAAAAAAAAGCAGGGGTAGTAATTATAATCTTAGACCAAGTTAGCTAAAATAGATTTAATCAAAAGAGAAAAATAGGGGAACTATACTGTATGTCAGCCATATTAATCAATATTGTTTTAGAGTATTTAAAATAACTAGACTGTATAGCTGAAATAGTGCTGTGGTATAGGAAAGATGAGTTGGTAGACTTAGAAAAATATAGGAAGATTTGGACCTATGCAGGAAGATGTTATCCACTCTCATAGAAACAGGACAAACAAGTATAATATGGTCTTACATAGATGCATATGAATGTATATGTCTATATGTGAGTATGATTTTATCATCTTAAGTATATCTTATCTAAATATGTATTGTGTGTATGCAAGTGTATATGTATTTATAGTCAGTACATATATGCATGTGTATACACACACACACATATATAGATGTATCTATACATACATACACACACACACGCATACATATCCATGCTTAATTGTAGCCTTCTTGGGGGAGAGGGCAAGGAAGGGAGTGGGGGAACAAAGAAATGTGAACAGCAGAGAACAAAAGAAAACAACAAAGCAAAGAAAAGATGGATAGCTCAACACAGTGTTTAGTATTTATCATATATGCTTTCTTGAAATGGAAATTTGTTGCTGTGTATTTTGAATCCTCTTATGTTCTGCTGTGCACATGGCAATGCTTCTTTTTCTGTTCTTATGTTATATTGAAGTTTTCGTATTTTTGTGTATTTAATTTTAAAATAAATTAATTTTTTAAAAAAAGAAATGACCAGGAGGCAAACCCAGAAGAGAATGACTCTACAAGTATAAACAAAGAACCTCAGAGGAAAAAAAAAATGGCTAAGCTACAAGGACCTCAGGAGTAGTCACTGAATGAAGCAAGAAATGAAGCAACAGATAGAACATGAAATTATAAATGAAATAAGAATCCTGAGGATAAAATTGGAATGAGTATAAATAGTATAGAATAGAAATCAGAAAAGCTTATCCTCAAGTAGTGCACTACTTGAAAAACAGAGTGGAGCAAATAGAATTAAGTGACTGGAAACAAGAAGAAATTTTAGAACAATATCAGATATTGAAAAGCATGAGAAAATGTCATATAGTTGCAATCAAGAACAGTTGACTTGGAAAACAGATCAAATAGAGACAATTTAAGAACATCAGACTCCCTGAAAACCATAATGAAACAAAAAAACCTAGATGTGGTATTTCCAGATCCTTTGGAATCAGAGTTCAGAGTAAAAATGGAATCCAATAGTCACATTTTGAGAGAAATTCCAAATTGAAAATACTTAAGAATGTCATAGTCAAAATCCAGAACTTCTAGGTTAAACGAAAGTACTGCAAGCAAGACAGTGGGAGCAGATCATTTCAATAATGGATTATTAGTTTTTGTCACATTCCTTTTTTTTCTCTACATTCTTATGTGTAAAAATGAAGACAGGGTAAAGAGAAGAAAACATATGATATGACTAAGGGAAATAACATTTGTGACTATGAAGTTTAATGGGTTGAACTAAACCAGATAATTGAAGACAGAAGGAGATTGTATTAGAAAACAGAATCCATGACTGTGGATTTGTGAGTGAAAATGAAACCAGTACTGGGAAGGGTGCCCAGGGATACAATGTCATCAGGAGTAAACTAGGTCTCAGTGAGTTCCAAAAAAATGGAAGGATTATTAATGGAGAAAGCTGCATTAATTATTAATAGAAGATTAAAATTAATGGGTTTGTTGATTTTGACTGGAGCAGGCCTTCTAGAGGGCATAGTTGAAGGGGAGGGCAGATCTGGAGTGGTCTCTTACAGGGGTGGAGTTCAGAGTGTATGGGAAGAATGAGTAGACAGTTGAGATTGGTGATGGTGATTTTTTATTTTTTTTGGACAGGAGTTGGGTTTTATAGGGGTAGGAAGCATAGAATGTGGTGAAAACTTGCTAGCTGTTGGAAGATGAAGATAGTAAGTTCTGCATATGAAGGCAGGTGATTAGAAGAGTCAGGGTGGACATTTGTGTTGGCATGGCCCTTGAATGCTGACTTGCTCTGTTAAGATGAATTGGGACAAGCCTGGCTGTGCTGTGATCCTCAAGATCATTTCAAAATGATTTCTCTCTGCCTTGCCTACTGATGTTTTTAAAAGGTTGCAACAGAATTCTTTAAATTTTAAATTGTATGTCCAATTCATTTTATGTATATCATATAGAAGGATAATGTTCCTTTTTTCAGTCGTTCTTGCGTAAATAATGATCACCTTCAGAAATGTTATCTTAAGAATTTAGTATTATTATCTAAATATGGTGATATTTTAATTGAATCCTTTGGAAATAAATTCATTTATGGGATATATTTAATTACACAAAATTATAAATTCAGGAAATAGAGCTAATTTTACTTTTAGAAACTGACAGAAAGCTGCATTTATCCTTTCTATCATTACCCAATTAAAGTATACAGACTGAACTTAGTTTATGTTTTGAACTCTCAGATTGATTCTCTTTATAGACTTTTTTCCCCTCCTCTTTTTCTAGTGCAGGTGTTAGTGAGATTGATGGAGAGAATAAATAGATGAATGATGAAGTTCTTGGAATGGGAGTAGAATGCAAAGTAAATCTGGTAAAGTGGGAAAATGCATCAAATGCCAAATAAAAAGAGTTCAGTAAGGTTAAATGTAAGGTATTGAAAAGGTTTGAACATACCAGTAGGTCAAGAACTCTATCAAATTTTTTTCGTAGACTAAAGTCTGGTTTAATTCTGACCTTAGATCATTCCCTAATTCATTTCTCATTGATAGAGAAAAGATAGAATCCGCTAGGGCCTTTTGATATTGAGCACACCTACCTCACAGAGTGTTATAAGGATCAAATGAGATAATATTTGTAAAGTACTTAGCACAGTGCCCAGCAAATAGCAGGTGCTTAATAAATCCCTTCTTTCCTTTGTTCCTTCTTTCCTTCCTCCTTTTCCCATTCCCTTGTTCCCTCCCCTCCCCTTCCCTTCACCACACTTTCTCCCTAGGAAGAGATTCCAACTTATATCTAAAACAAAACATATTCCTCAAGATATCATATCCAACTCTTCCTACCCTTAGGAACATAAGAGATCATTAACTGGTTGTTAACCAATACCACAAAAATATACAGTAATCATGGGAAATTAACAATAACCTAATGCCATCTGAATGGAAAATATTTTCACAGCAATGAAATTATAAATAATTTCTTCTAGTTCACTTAAGTCATCTATTAAAGGGGTTTTTTTTGGTTTTAAAGATTTAGTAAGTTTTGTAGTGTAGATATACTCTTAGTCACCTCTGAACAGTTGTTATATGTCTATACTATAATTTAGTTTATATCTTATTTTTGAGCAGTGCTTTTGAACGATTGGAACTACCTATTCTAAGAGATTGTCTAGAAGTCTCTTTTATTTGCTTATTCTTTTTATAAATTTCCACATAGAGAAAAAATACCAGTTCTTTTAAAGTTTTATAGTCTAATTATATTGGCTTCATTATATTAAATCATTAATATATTTTGTGTTCTCTAGCCCTTAATTACACATACACTAGGATTCAGATCAACACAGTATCAGAGTATAGAAGTAGCAAAGGCAGAAATTGAAGGCAGATATAAAGGTAAGGCTGATATGTTAATTTTTCTTGGCCTTAAATTTTCCATAAACTGTGGAAATATAATTAATATTGTAGCTCTTGCTCATCAGTATTTGACATATTGGATACATATGACTAGAGTAATTAGATATCATTTAAGAAAAAAGTTAAATAATTATGGAAATGTAGACATATTATCAACTTCTTTGTTCATAGCACTTACTGCTGTGCCTTTCACATAACAGGCACTCAACAAATATTTGTTGAATGAATGAATTCATATAATGAACCATGAGCCTGATGTTCCCCTCCCTGCCAATTTTCTTTTTCAGCTAAGGAATATTGTAGGACGTTATTTGCCTACGAAGGTGCTAATGACGATGAACTTTCTTTTAAAGAAGGGGAAATCATCCATTTGATAAGTAAGGTATGACATTTCAGTTACATCAGTTATTTAGGTGTAACTAGTCTAGTTTTCACAACAGAACAGGTTTTCCTCTAATTTTAAAAATTTGACTTTAGAGATGGCATAATTTCACATGCTCATGGTTCTTTTTTTTGGTATTTTAGAGCCATAGATATTTGTGTACAAATGAAATATTAAGGAACTTGAAAACATTCCATTCAGCAGTTATTTATTAAGGATTGGCTTTGTTCAGAGTTCAGTGATAATTGTTGGGGAGAAAAAGAGAGTCTTTACCCTGAGGTACCTTACCTTGTACTTGGTAGGATATTGCATTTATAGAAAGAAGTATAATACGTGATAGAATGTGAGGGTGACAAGGTAGTGATGCAGACAGTATGTTTTAGAACAATTTGGATGAGGTAGAAAATACATGGAGGTGTGGCAAGCAGGGAAGGCTTCATGGAGATGATGACACTTGTATTGAGCCATCTTTAGAAAAGTTTCTAAAAGACAGATATGAGGAGTGACTAAATTTCAGCTACCAGGATGGCCTTTATGAATGCACAAGGATAGAGGAGAAAGATGGTTTGTCAAGTTTATGAAACAAGTCCAGTTTGGCTGAAAGCTAAAGTATGTGAAAAAGAATGCTATGAAATGAGATTAGGAAAGTAGACTGGAGCTAGAATATGGAGGATGTCAAACGCTGGCCAGGGAGTTTGTATTTTATCAGATAGAGAGTAGGATGGAGTTGGACTAGATGATCTCTAAGGGTCTTCTGGCTCTGACTCTGTGATGCTTGTGTACTCTTTCCCTTATAAATTTCATCAGTCTTGCTCCACTCATTTTACATTTTAGAAATCTGAGGCACAAAAAATTTAACTGATTTGTTCAAGTTTATAAAAGTGGATAATGGCAAAGCCAGGAGTGGAGCTAAAGTATCTTCTGACTCCAAATGCTTCTTTGACCATACTAGATATCTTGCCCTTCCTGGTTATTATACCACCTAACAATCTGTAATATCTTAGGCACAGATCCCACCTCTGTTTTTTCCTCCAATCAGATTAGTCCTTTGTTAATCCTAACTTTTAAGTCCTCCTCAGTCCTGCCCTCCTCTGCTTATACCTTTAATTATACCCTTTGCAGTCACCATTCTATTTTTTTTTTTAACAAATTCTACCTTGTTGGTCAGGTTAGACACCTTCCATGTCCTTACACTTAACTGTAGAACCTAGTTTTTTCCTGAAAAATCTACGTATGTGGTAATCATCTCCAATGTTGGGTGCTCCTTTTTCTACTTTAAGTAAACTGTGGGACATGGAAGGAGTCTAGATTAATGATAATTGGGAATTGGTTAAAAAAAAACCCCAAAACACAGCAGAACAGAACAGAAACTGCAAAGATCACACTGGAATGGCCTGGACAGAGTTTTAGCATACTCCTTCCTTATTACCATTTTAAAATCCTTCTTCAGCCATCTTTACTTAAAGCCTTTGCTCTTTTAGGTTTGTTTATTCCAGGCTTTTCCTGATCTTTTTGTTGCCCTCTATGGACTTGAAACACAATTCTTCCATCTTCCATAGTGACTTAGGCATTTTATTTACACACTTTCTCTTTCCCATCCCTCTGCATTTATTCCCATAGATTTTCAGTATCTATATTAGTGACCCTTTTATTTCTTATTATGAACTTTTATTAACAAACACCAACAAGTACTAATATTTCAATATAAAAAACCCAAGGAAGTTATATATAAGAACTTAGTAAATCTTTACATTTGTTTTTTAAGTTTATATTAAATCTTATGCAATAATAGCAACTGCCCTACTGGTCTTTATCTCTCTCTGAACTTCCTTCCCCTCTCTTCTGTATATTTTAAAATAAATTTTTTGACATCGTCAAATATCCTTCCCCTTTCCTCCTCCCAGAGAGCTTTTCCTATATAACAAATAATATTTTTCAAAAGAAGAAAAAAGGAAGAAGAGAGGGAAAAATCTGCAAAACCAGTAAATTTTAAAACATGTGCAATGAACCTGCAAAGCAGTGGGGGCAGGGGTGTCATCTCATCTCTTTGTAATTTTGCTGCATTCATTTTTTAGTGTTTTGTAGTTTTTCTTTTGCATTTAATTATTACAGTCAATGTACATATTGATTCTGCTTACTTTACTCTTCCTCATTTTATATAAATTTTTTCATGCTCTGTATTCATAATAGTCATCATGTCTTTACAATACAGTAATAAAGATATTGGTATACTGCAGTTTATTTAGCCATATTCCAATTGATAGGTCATCAACCTTGTTTCTAATTCTTTCCTATCACAAAAAAAGCTGCTGTAAATATTTTTGTGTAAGGTTGTTGGTAGTCTTCATGGTGAGGTAGGGCAGGCTTCATAGCACATCAAAGCTGTTGGGCCCCATGGATGCTGAGTTTGCCATCATGTAAATCAGGAAGACCCTGACCCATGGATAATCCTCCCCATTAGCAAGATTGCCAAAGGTGGTCTCCAAGTTATCAGGGCTAGGGGTAGGAAATGATACTCTTCAACTTGAGGGCTTCTTTTCCTACTTCTTGTTGGCTGGGTGTTTTATCATATACCCAGAGAAATCTCTCAAATGGAGAGTCCCCAGGCTATCACCTTTGCTGAACTAGAAGAAAATAGATTACTTATGACATTCAGTGATTCTACCACTGCCTATAAGAGTAGGATGAACATTCCAGTTATGCATTAAAGAACAAGGGATTAATGTTACTATAAACCTGGGATAGGTAGAGAATTGTACTTGACTTAGTTTTCCAATATTGCCAAAGGTGATCATTTCTTGTGTGCAACTGTACATGTTTATAGCACCAACTCTGATAACAAAACCATCCTCAATTATATTTTCCTTGGCAACCTGACATATAATGTCAAATCAGCTGGCACTTGTAAAAACAACCTTTGGTCTGTCAGTTACAGCCCTACCACAACCCAGACAGGATTGTTGTATCTCCTTAGATGATCTGCAGAGTGCTTCTCTTCCCCTTTTGATACCCCTTGGAGACTAATAGTCCCAAGACAATTTTTGTGGCAATACGGCTTACTCCTCCCTAACTGGTCTGGAACAAATGGAATCACCTATTTGCCCCTGCCTGTTTCAGTTTTTAATCACACTGTAAGTAGGATTAGTAGCGGGGGGAAAATCTACCAGAAATTTTGGGGTGTGGTGGTTGCTTATGGAGATGTGATTACCATCCAGAATCCTGTAAAACAATATGAAAAGGGAATGAAGTTCCTCTCATTCCTGATGTCTTTTATTAACATCTCTGCATTGGAGCAGGCTATTAGCAACCCCTTACCTGAAACTCAGAAACTTGCCAAAGTCATAAGTGAGACCCTCTTACTTTCAAATTGAGGTAAATTCTGTAGCACAAATAGTCTTAGAAAATTGTAGTGTTCTAGATCTTATTTCAGCTTCTCAAGGAAGGTCCTGTGCCATGATCAGTCAGTATTTGTTCCTACATTAATGCATCAAGGGAAATCGTGACTGTCCTTTAGAAGATCCAACAAGTTATAGCAGTAAATCAGTTACCTAAACCAAGAGATCCTTGTTGGAACCCTTCCTCCTGGTTCATTTTGTTGCAGGAAAATGATTTATTAGCCACCATAGGTAAATGGGCTCTCTTTGCTCAGTGCTGCTTTATTTATTGTTCTTAGACTTTTCATCAGTTGTTTAGTTAAATTATGCAAAGGAGGTTTCCCAGTGGTCTTTTCTTGCTATGCAGTGCCAATAATGATCACATAAAGAATATTATAGATCTGACTTATACAGTTTGATTTTTTTTCCCAGTGTCCTCCTTGTGGTGGGTATTAGACTTTTAGTGAAATATCTGGATTAAAAGATATAGACATTTTAGTTTCTCCATTTTCTTAATCCTGCATTCTTTCTATAATGGTTATGCTGATTCACCAACAATACATTAATATACCTATCTTCCCATAGCTCCTCCAGCATGGATTATATCCATTTTTTCTTATCTTTGCCAATTTTCAGTCTCAGGTAAAACCTCAGGGCTGCTTTGATTAGCATTTCTTATAAGTGATTTGGAACATTCTTTCATATACTTATTGATAGTTTGCAATTCTTCTCTTTGAACTGTTTGCTCATAACCTTTGATGACTTATCTGTTTGAAGAATAGCTTTTGGTGTGGGTATGGGTATGTACACCTACCTACTGTCACACACACATACATATACACATACACATTTATATATATATGCGTATGTGTTTGCCTGTATGTATGTACCAAATCATTATCTGAGAAATCTGGTAGCTTGTCTATTCCATTGACTTTTTTGTTTTTTAACCAATACCAAATAATTTTGATAACTGTAGTTTGAGGTCCGGAAGTACTTGTCTTTTATCCCCCTTTTACCCCATCATTTACCTAGGTCTTTTGTTTGTTTAAGGGAAGGATCTTAACTTAAAAAGGCCAAGATCTCCCCCTCCATTCAGGGCCATCTCCAGTTGTCCTGGTCTATACCTTGCCACTGGACCCAGATGGCTCTAAAGGAGAGAGTGAGGCTGGTGACTTTGCACAGCCCTCCCTCACTTAAATCTAATTCACATGCAAGTCATGGCACCACTTTCTTAATATCATGGTCCTCTTGGAGAATGAAGGACGAACAACAATAGGATTTTCTGAGTATACCATTATATTGTCAGCAAATATCCTTACTTCTGCATATCTTATAATTTTTCCTTTGAGTTTTTTCTTTTTCATTACTATCACTATTTTCTGACTTTCGAAAGATTAAACAACTACCTTCAAGTCCCAGTTAAAATCCTACCTTCTGTAAGAATCTTTTCTTGATCTCCCTTTTAAAGCATTTCTTTTGTGGTTATCTCTAATTTATCCTGTATATATCTTGTTGGCACAGAGTTGGTTGGATGTTGGCTCTCTCCACTAGATTGTGAGTGCCTTGAGAGCTTTTGTTTTTTTAAACCTTTATTTGTATCTTCAGGGCTTACTTAACAGAATT